CCAACCTTTCATATGCCAGTCCTCATCCAGGAAGAGATCCACAAATAAATCAAAGCTGCCAGGCCACAGATCGACTACAAAACATGCTTGGAAAACCAAAGGAAAGCAATCATAAGACTAATACCACTGAAGCAGAAGTACATAGGTCACAAGGTTCTTACCTAAGCAGTTTGCCCAGCATAAACATCATACCAACTACTGGAAATACCTACAGTCAAGCTACCAAGTCAACTCTGACACAAATATCAAATCAGGAGCCCATCACTGCAACCTTAGAAAATCACTCAATGGAAGATGCTAATGCCACACTAACAAACATTATCAGAAAAGAAATTCAGAAGCTCAGCATATCAATTTGCAGGTTTCTAAAAGAAATTGTCCTCACAGACTTGTCAAAGGAAAATAAAAAAATGAAAGAATTACTAACATTAGTGCAACCAGAAAACACTTCGGTAGTGAGGTAGCTGAAGCTTTGTTGGGGGAGCTGCATACAGAGACTGCCATTGCTTGCACATCCATTGCCCTGGCCCCACTGCCACGACTGTGGATGTGAGAAACAAAAACAGCAGCTGCCCAGAACTGGAGATGGGCACAAAAGAACCAACTGACCTGAAACAAATTCAAAACCTTAAAAAGAGACAAACAATAGCAAGGACCTCCAAAAAGAAGAAGACTTAATGGTTCACTCAAACTTGAATTCCATTCAGCAACCCACTGCACTAGAGTCTCAGCTAGAAATATATCGGTTAAACTGCAATGGTCTTAGGGGCAAAGTATCCGAGCTTAAAATTTATGTCTACACCAAAAAACCTGAAATAATGTGCTTATGTGAAACCTGGATAAAGAAAAATGAACCCAAATTCCTCGGATATTAGTCCTTGTGGATGCACAGACCTGGTGAGAGAGGGGGATTGGGAATTTTGGTGAGGGAGGATGTTGCTTTTAAACAAAAACAGGTGATCCCATTCCCAGCTGGCTTCCTAGAGTACCGTACCAATCTATTGAAATATACACCAACTACTGCAGTATTAGCATTTTTAATGTATATAACCCATGCAAAAATATCTTGATAGAAGAACTTCAGCATTACACTGACCAACTTGGAAATAGTTTTATTCTCATTGGTGATCTGAACGGACACTCACCTCTGTGGGACCCCCGAAACAGGCACAACCACACTGGCCACAGCATAGAGAAGCTAATAGAAACTCACAATCTTATACTGCTTAATGACTCGGACACTCCAACCTACATAGATAACCATACCGTAAAATGGGGTAACTTAGACCAGCGGGGTAACTTAGACCACTTTTCGTTTTTTCAACAAAAACCCCCACAACTCAAAAACTATTTGACATAGAAAAATTTTGTCAATGGGCATTAAAGGCCTAATACTGAGGCTACATAACACAATAGAAAGATTTGAAAAGTTTGCATATCTAATAGGTTAAAAAATTAAAAATGTGANCTGAGGAGTTGATGCAATCATATCTCAACTTGCTGGGCAAGTGGCTTGAGAAGTGGCAGTTCACCATCAACCCACTAAAGTGCTCACTCCAACTCTTCACGCGTAAACGTAACATACCTCCAGTCAATGTGCTTGTTGCAGATCAACCAATTAGAAGCGTGCCTGTGCAAAGGGTTTTGGGTGTCCTTTTTGACGCCCCAAAACTTAAATTTCATTCACACATTTCTTATCTAAAGAATGATGGGCTCCGCAGACTGGCACCTCTTCGGGCACTCTCAGGCAGCAGCTGGGGTGCTTCCAGATGTCTGCTCAGACAAATATACATTAGCTTCATTCGCAGCAAACTTGAGTACGGCAGCATTCTATTCAAACTTAGTGACATTTCTACAAAATACACTCAGAAACTTAGAGTAATACAGTCCAGTGCACTTAGAATTATCCTTGGTGCCCGTAACACGTCTCCCATTACATCACTGGAGATTGAAGCCCATATACCTCCCTTAGAGATCAGGTTTGACTACCTTTTTCTAAAATGGTACCTTAAAACCCTGCGCTGCCCTAAAAGCCAATCCAGACAAGAAATTTGCCATGAGACTGGTGTCTCTGTGTGCAACTTTGGCTCAAGCTTCTTCTCAACAAGAGGCAGAAGTCTCCTATCTGATTTGGGCATGTCAAGCTTTAAAAGATTCCCAACGCCCAACATTTCACCTGTTCCACCTTATTACAATTTTGAACCTCATATCCAACTCTCCACCTAAAGCAAATGTAGCCGTGATGCCCCCCCTGGCATCAATAGGGGGATGTTCAAGGAGTTCTGCCATGCCAACTCACCTTCCCATGTGCATGTGTATACTGACGGATCCAAACTCAGCGACGGTTCCACAGCTGTAGCTATGTACTTACCGAGTCTACAAGTCACCACAACATGGAAGTTGAACCCAACACACACGGTTCTTGGTGCAGAGCTCTTTGCAATACTAAAGGCTCTGCAGATTTATTGTCTGGACCCAAGACTAAGAACGCAGGACGTCCTACTGTTAACTGACTCCCAGTCGGCCCTGCAAGCCATCAGAAACACCGTCAACCCCTCATACAAAGAGTACGTCTACAAAATCCAAGATGCTGTACTAGAAAGGCAAGCCCTAACTGTACTGCAATGGGTGAGAGGCCACTCAGGGGTGGAAGGCAATGAGATTGCAGACCGGGCAGCTAACATGGGCCACCAAAATCCATTTTCTGCTATGAGCACCCTAAGCATAGAGGAGACACTTACTGTCCTGAGGGAGAAACTACACAAGTGCTGGACTAGGAACTGGAAAACGACCGTTGCTCAGACTCAGAAAGGTGCTTTTTTGAGTAACAATATGGTGGAACCGCGACTTCGCCCTTGGCTTTGCCTGAAGTCCCGCAAGCTAGAATGTGCATCTGCAAGAATTAGAATTGGGCATGCAGGTGTCAGGAGCTATCTGCACAGGTTTAAAATGAGTGATTCCGATCAGTGCACCACCTGCAACACAACAGACACAATTGTTCACTTTCTTCTGGACTGTCAACGTCATGTGCAACCAAGACAGGAGCTACTAAGTAACTTGAGAAGCATCAATGTAGAACTTAACCTTTGTAATCTCCTGGGGGGAGGTAACTTTAGTGATAAGGTGTCACAGAAAGTCTCTCAATTTTTCAATGCATTTATTTTAAAGTCAGGTAGGCTAAGTGATCTTTAGATGAGCGCCTTGCAAAGCTGTATATATGGAAGCACGATAGAATTGTTAATGCATGGCTACTGCTGATATATGTTTTGATTTAGCAAGTAGATCATCTAGGTTTTTTTTTCAATATTATTATAATTATGTATATATTTCTATTATTATTGTTATTATTATTATTATCATTATTATTTTTGTTTAATGAAGGCTGTTATATTAGCAGCCCTTACTTACCTAAATTACATTAGCAGTAACTCATTTCATTTACTAATATATGTTCCCTGTAAACTTCTACCCAATCCTGCACTGAGCTTACATCAGCCAACCTCACTAAATGGCAGCAATTAACTTCATATACAAAGAAGCTGAAAACCCCAAGCTATAAGCTCTCAGGCCCAACGGTCATCCATCTGGCAGACCTGCGGCTTTAAGTCCACTCCAAGTGGACACCCTGCAAAGAAAGAAGAAGAATCCCTATTCAAATAGCGACCTGATGAAACTGATACCTATAGTTATTGTATTTTACTTGTTAAATTGTGTGAAACTGTGAATATACAATAGTGCTGCGCTGCTGCCCAATCAGTCAAAGACAGTAACAAACTAACAATTTAACATAGACTCGTTATTCACATACAGTGGTGACTGACGACTGGTGAGTGCGTGGTAACTGGTAGGCTAATAACTCGTACTTAGTAGTTAGCCTCATAGTCAACACAGCCTGACTTTCACCCTCAAGTTAAAGTTTGCTTGCACTCTCAGTCTTAAGTAAGCTCAGTTTGTGCAAAATTGTGCCCAAGATACGAGTCTAAGCATGATGTCCCAGGTAGTCAGGTATGATTGTATAAAGTACTTAATCATTATTAGCTTACGTATAGAGAAATGTCAAATGTGCAACATATATTTCTAGTTTTTACGAATCCCATTTGGAAAGGAAAAAATCTCATACTTAATGTTTGAAAATTTTTGGTGTAAATGAGCTGTTTATATGAATTTAATTAAATGATAGACAGATAGAGATATGGTATAGAAGTTTCCTGGGAACTGGCAATTATTGGCATTGGTGCCATTTTGGTGATTTGGCACAGGGGTGAATCCCAGTGGAATTTATCTACTTTATGAGCCATGACTCAAGCTTTTCTGCAATTTTTGTAGCTGCAACCTGCAAAATTCCCACTAGCCTAGATGAATTATCTCCTATTCAATTGTTAAGAAAAGTTGTCAATATAGCTAATTGCACGACTTCAAATATATTGCAAATATGTCACCTATGACCTAACTCGCCTTGCAGTCTTCACCTTTGTAGCCAAAAGATTTTAGTAATAAGTAGGAATCTTGGTTAGGCTCTAACTCCAAGCTGTTCATTAATTTATTCTATCTAAGGATGGTTTCTGCCAGATTTTACCATATTACCTGCTAGTACTTATAGCCTGGCTGCCTGTAAATGACTTAATACTTGACAGACATAGTTTGACTCATCACTGTATTTTGGTCACCATCTTTAGCACTTAATGACTGAGAATATACCTACCAAATAAAATTAAAATTCTAATGTATCAGTGGATTTTTTTAAGTCCAAACAAATGCTAGGTACTTTTATCTGTTTTTGACTGCTGTAGTCTAATATTTATCTATAAATCCTTGATCTAATTTCAAGAATAAAAAATTATTTTCTTTGTCAAATACCGTACTCGAATTGCTATTGTTGCTTTTTCTATACATTAATTTTTCCATACTATACAATGTTTGCTCAAAAATATTTTGTAACATGTAATACTGGAGTTAGATACATTATTTATATTGATTTTTACAGAAATGATTGATGAATAAAAAAAAGATGCCTGAAGATAGTATCAATTAAAATGATGGTAAAGTATCAGGGTCCAGTTAAACTTTGTTTTGCAGTTCTCTTTATAAATTGCTCATTCTTTTCATCCTTGTTAGTAGTCTCAGTATTATCATGTCAAACTGCAAGTGTGCCCAAATTATCTCAAGAATCTACTGCAAGGGATTCTTGCAGCCCCTGTGTAAGCGACCCTAAGGATCTAAATAAATGTGATTACCACTGGCATCAAAGACACTTTCACTCAGATGAAAATTTTAATTTTAACCACAAAGAGAACATTTCAATATCATCAAACAAATGGAGCTTCTCAGATATACTTCACTTCATTTGCCTGATTGTTGTCATGGCAGTAGGTTTGGTTGCTGCTGCTATCCTTGGTTGCCTGGTTGCTGTGCTTGTGTTTGTTAAATCTGGCAAAAAATATCAACCCAAACCTCAGTTGCCACCAAGACTCAAGGCATTTAATATTCTTGCAAAGGTAAGTGATTAAAGAGGGTACTTGCTGGTTGCTGCATTTATTAATTGCTTTCATATTTTGGGCAGTTGAAGTGTGTCATGATAAAGACATAGTGTGCTATGAAACCATATACTTATAGAAGTTTTGCCATGTGTGTTTTATTCAGGGACATTTATGTCATATACTTTCAACATGAACTAGCTTGCATTATGAGAAACAAACTGTGAGTTCTATTGTTGTGATTTACAGATTTAGATAGTTTGAAAGCATCATAATTTAGAGTGTCACTTTGGTTACATTATTGCATGTGACAGGCTCACTATGCAACAAAGTTTCACTGTTTACATTTTTTCCATGAGCTAGCTTTTGTTGTATACAGAGAATATTCAAATTTTTTCAGCATGTGAACCTGAAAAATCCCTTGGAAGACTCCAATGAACATTCCCAGCATCAGTCATGCTGTTGTGTGCCACGATGTATCGGTCATACCAGCCACATCAATGTTGCTCTCCGTCGACTGCTCGACAGAGCCCTCAACTCAGCCATATTGCCTTGGTACAGTCAACTAGTGGCTGATCCAAGCCCTGCTTTGGATGAAATCAGGTTAGTAAGTAAAGTAGTATACTGAAATCCATGATCTGGTAACTTCATATTCACATTTTTGAATGATTACCGTCAACCGGGGCTACTTGGGACGATTTAAAAAGTTTTTCATTCATAACTTCTTACCATGAAACATTTCATAAACAAGTTTAGGCTCATTTCAAAGCTCTTTGCAAGGGCTACCACATGGCTTCTCCAAATAAATTCCATATGCTATTCGTAAGGTGCCTAAAGCAAAAAAAGAGTGTCCCGAGTAGCCCCGTCGAACGGGGCTACTCGGGACACTTGGAATAAAACTTCATTTTAAAACATTTGAAGCATGCAGAGTGTACTCATCTATTATTAACAGTACTCTGAAGTCCTCCTCTTTCATTGTAGATGATGTAGAGGTAGAATAAATGACATTTTCTGTGAATTTTACTTGTTTTTCCTTTATTGATATGATATTACCATATACATTAATTACCGTATTATTGAAATGATATTACCGTATTATTGATGCAATATTACCATATCCATGAACATGCCATTGAGCATTTACAACAACCTTGTCCACTGCAAGCTTCATATCAGCAGCCTTATAGCATTTTTTCTGTATCTGTAAGCTTACAGGATGTTTTGTAATTTCACACCATTTTAATTGGGTTAAGTGAATTTACTATAAAAAAAGATTGTGAAAAACATACCTGAAACAGAAAGGAATGTTTTAGTGACAACGATCATATGTTTTGGAGAAATAAATAATAGTTTAGGTCAATTACTTTTCATTCTATGATGCCTGGTGCACAATTATATATATGACATTTTATGCAGAATTTTGTGATGACCGATGATGCACTAATTTTTCTATAAGTGAAATTTTTTTTGCTGAGCGAGGTAAATGTAATCAATATTCTTGCTTTTAATCAATTTTTTTAACTGGAGCCTTTGCTAACCAAGGTTATACTGTATATGCATTTTTGGGGGTGTCCCGAATAGCCCCGCGGGGGTGTCCTGAGTAGCCCCGCCGTGTGGAAATGGCCGCCATTTTTTTTTTGGATTGAGTTACGGTATGCAAATTCTGCAAATAAAGTTTTCATGCTGACACTTGTCTGCCACTTTTTTCTAAGCGAAACTTTTTAATATAGCAAATATTTTTTTTACTACAGACCTTAGCAGAAGTAACTTTTCAAAATATCATTTTTCACCATTTTTTTTCAGGAATTTTTCAAAGCTAGTAAATGTAGTATTTTTGAACTCCCTTTTTACTACATAGATAGGAAAAATGTTGATGTTTACGCCACTATATTTAGTTTTGCAATATTCCAATTAGTTTTGCTACTAAACAGTTTTACGCAGTGTCAGAGGACTGTCCCGAGTTACCCCGCCCATCCCCAGTAGCCCCGGTTGACGGTATTTCTATTGGTGTTGCTCTTTTTATGTAAATGCTTTTACATTGTTCAGAATACCATGTTGAACTTAAAGAAAATCTTGATATCTGACAAGATTTTGTATTCACGGTTTGTATTCATTAAAATAATTACAGTTACTCCTTCTTTGACACAGTTTATGGAGAATTGATGCTAAAACACATCTGCTCCCTTGTATGTTATTGTTGCCTGCATGCAAATTGTTACTATAATTATAATAAATAAACTTTTGTTGTTAGAATTTGGGGAGAATATATGTATGCTGTTGTTTCCTGCATGCAAGTTATTATTATAATTCATTACAATAACTAAACATTTTTGTCATCAGAGTTTGCGGAGGATATGTTCTGCAGCGTATCTGCTCAAGAGTGCGCTCCATGGACGCTGTTGGGTTCCTGACAGGCAGCATGGCTGTTGAGCTCACTAAGCACTTGCAGAAAATTCGTCTTGCTCAGACCATGGGGTAGGTTGCAATGATACTACATTGAAAAAATCTACATCATTTACAAGAAGTTGTAAAGTTGTAATTTTGTTCCTGATTTTTTCAACTATTGCTCCCATTTTATCTGCAGTTTTGTTTGTGTTTGTAAGATCCTACTATTTGTTTCTTCTGTATGTTATACCATGAATATTTCCCCTGATTTTGTTGACTGTTTTTCTGTCCTTGTACGATTTTTCAATGGGTCTTCTTTGGTTTTCTGTGTATGTTTCAGCATCACCATCTACCTACCCTAATTTAATTGGTACTTTAGCCTGTCCTGGTAACGCCTTTCAATTGGTTTTCTCTTTATGTTTTACCACTATCTGCCCTAATTTAATTGCTAATTTCATTTCACTGCATGATCTCTCGACAATTGTTCAGGGAGAAAGCAGGCGAGCGCGGCGTGTTCCACTTGGTGCCGCAGCTGAGCTCACCTGAGCGAGAGCGCAATTTCCTGCGTCGTCTTTCGGAGTTTCTGCTGCTGCACTCGCTGCCCCCGCCCTACTACGCCTGTGCTCCCCTGCGGTGTGTCCTCAGGGAGGCACTGGCCTGTACTGGTGAGCAGCTATTATTACCATTATATATATTATATCACTAAATGCCGGTGAGCAGCTATTGTTATTATATCTCTTAATAATGGTGAGCAGCAATAACCAAATATCTGAAATGAGAGATGCATAATTTCTCACTGGAAAATATGCATGATTCATTCTAACTGTTTTTAAAACTGTCAGCTTGTTTCTAAATTCAGCATGTTATAATTATTGCGGAAGATTATTGTAGAAAATACAGAACATTGAATTCTTCTTTATGAAGGTAAGATATCAGCTGATTTATCTCCCATGATATCTTTGTTCATATCACATATCCTTTGTAGCACATATTTTTATTCCGAATGGATGATTCCTAATGCATAGTTTGAACTGTTCTTGCCAGTGCTGGAGGCGTGCGTGGACAAAGTTTGTTCCCCGGATTGGATAAATCAGCAAATTGTGCAGCATCTCAAAGTACCTGCTGCAAAACAAGAGGTATAAATTTTTCTAGAGCTGCCAATCATGAGTAGGTATTTTTATAGAGCTGCCGAAATACTTATTGTGCTACTACAATCTTCTCCAATGTGCAATCAGTGAATTTCATGCTACGAGCATTCTGGTGGGCTGGATATACTTTGTTCTGTATGCCTATATTATAATTTTGATTATTTGCTGCATAGAATTTAATAGTGTGAAACTCTTTCCGTTGGCGCAATTGGATCAGTTTCATTTTTGTTTCATCCATATTGGAATCAGTTCCAGGAATGAACCTTTTAGCATGAGGTTTCCACTTTCCAGCTATCCTCTTGCATCTTCTATCATGGCCATTTTTTTGCTTGCTCCATTTACTGTATTTTTTTTATACACTAACGTAACGCAGTGCTCACATAATGATTCGCTAATGTGTACTAGTAACTTAAATTTATTTCTATTACCTTGTCAATGGCTTGCTTCTTTTTAATTCGGTGAACAAAACCTGGCAGCATATAGTCAAATGGGGTAAGACAGGATCGCAGCGTTCATGGGGTAAGAAAGGACCAGCCCATATCATGCATTCTAATTGCACTGAATTTAATTTGAAAGAAGCATATGTTAGGGCACGGGCCCTACTGAAAAGTTAACTTATTGTCACTATCAAACCTATCTCCTCCTACAGTTTTGAAGCTACAACAATGAGACATATATCATTCGATTCACAAATAAAAGATCTATAAAACGTTCATGGCGTTTTTCCAATTTTGTTATAGTTTGGATTTTATTCTGCAAAATATGGGAAGATGGCAGGGAGAAAATTGAAAAATTTACTAAAAATGCCCCCACTTCCACAAAAATTGGAATTTCTAAAAAAAAGCCATAAACATTTTATAGATAAGACTTTGTGCATCGAATGATATGTGTCTCAATGTTGTAGCTTGAAAATCTTAGTACTAGTTACATTTCTACAGTACCCCCTTTTTTGGCCGTATTATAAGAATTTCACATTTTTTTTCATTTTTTTCGAAAAATTCACACTCTTTCTATTTTAAATAAGTGTACCAAGTTTCAGAGTTCTCCATCTGTAAATAACCGAGATAAATTTTGGGGCAGACGCTCTCCTCAAAGAAATTTAGCGTACTATGGTAAATTACATCAAGGGGATGGAGAAAATATGGATGTTTCTTCCCATTAGTGAGCTGCAGAACTATGTGCAACAGTGCAAGAGTGGCTGGGGGAAAAATCATTGTGTGAAAATAAAAAATAATTAATATCACAACTTTGTGAGAGAGCATGGGCTGGGTATTTTTGGAGAAGTGCACCACAAATGCAGTTAGCAAGAAAATACATGATGTCCGACACTCAAGTTATTTTCCATTGGTTTTATTATCAATTTGATATATTTTCTGACAATGACACTAATGGAATATACATGTAGCATTCAGCAGTGCTCTACAATGAATCAAAGCCAACCTACTATTACTATGCTTAAACCTTTAACGACCAGGTGTACCATACGGTTGCCTTTCAAACATGCTGTGTAATATTACAGTCATGATAAGGAATATGCGATAGTTGCTTTGAACGTGTTCGGTAAGCGTCCCTGCTTCGTTTCGGTGGTGCAACTCTACTCTTTGCCGCCAACTACATCGTGCAGTGCTGGTCTTGTTGGGAATCTGTGGTGCCATTCATTTGTTGAACTTTCCCAATCTTTATTGGACTATGGTGGGAAAATCAGAAAAGTTGCAGCATTGGAATAATTCTACACAGTTTTTAATACAATAGTGGGTGCACATGCAAAATTTGAACATAAAATAAAAATTACATGCTTATATCACTTTGTGTTTCTAAAGGCAAACCTTCAGTACAGTTGGACTTACAACAACTGCATTGTTTGAAACATGGACCATTGAGTCATGTTCCTTAGACCATGCAAGTAGGGAATTATGATGTATAATAATTGTGTTTTCATTAGGTACTATTCTATAATTTAGTGCCCTTCTACAATATTTTTCTAACTATAAGTGAGAAACACGAATTCAGTTTACTGATTTTCTATCTACATACACTGGCCATTATTGAGGTGTACTTGTAATATTTTTTGCCTTTCAGACTCCTTCAAGAGCTTTAGCATAAAAACATTTTCTTCTCCAAGAAAACGTCCCAGTCTATGTGAACAACATCTTGCTACTCCATTCTCCAGTGAATCTAATGAAGACTCTGTATCAAAAGTCTTCTGATATTGGATACGATATTGGTTTCACCAATATGCCTGAAACCAGTTCTGAAAGCAAATTTGAAGAAGAAAATGAATCAATCATGATTGAAATGAAAAGAATGGAAGGTGGAAACCTAGCCTCTCAACTTGGACCCTGGCCTCTTAACCTGGACCCTGGCCTCTCAACCTGGACCCTGGCCTCTTAACCTGGACCCTGTCCTCTTAACCTGGACCCTGGCCTCTTAACCTGGACCCTGGCCTCTCAACCTGGACCCTGGCCTCTCAACTTGGACCCTGGCCTCTCAGTCTGGACCCTGGCCTCTCAGTCTGGACTCAGGCCCCTCAGTCTGGACTCAGGCCCCTCAGCCTGGACGCTGGCCTCTCAATCTGGACCCTGGCCTCTCAGTCTGGACTCAGGCCCCTCAGCCTGGACGCTGGCCTCTCAACCTGGACCCTGGCCTCTCAACCTGGACCCTGGCCTCTCTGCCTGGACATTGGCCTCACAACCATGGCCCTGGCGTCTTTGGCCCAACATCCTTGATGTTTTTCCAACATCAAGGATGTTGGAAAAACACCAATTTTTTTTAAATTCAATCTCAAATAAGGCATTTTTGCTAAAATACTAGAGTTTCTTTGCCAGACTTCTTAAGCCTATATTGTTGCTAGCAAAAGTATGTATAAAATGATAATTAACTATGCCAGCTACATAATATCATCCATATTTTGCGCTCAGAAGACTAAATGGATCATACCGTCGCGTTTAATGTTAGAATCTCATAAGACCAAGTGGACTGAAATGTTGCCTTACATTTTTTCAATATACAATTTTCAATGTTCCATACTCATCTATACACTACTTAGTGACCGGAATCTCTAGAAATTATAACAAAAAAAAAAAAAATTTATGTGCTTAAAATAAATGTGGTCATTAAAGAGTTAACAAAGTTTTCTCATGACGAAAACTCCAATGTGACTGATAAATATCAATAGAGTTGACATCCTGCAATACAAAACAGTAACAAGTGGTTGTGTATAATCAAATAATGTGTTTCTAGATTGATAATATTGAATATCAGGTTTGTACTTATATTAAAAACCTTGTAACACAAGAATTACCTGTTGGTCCTGTCTTACCCCAGCCCCGGTCCCATCTTACCCCAATGGGGTAAGATGGGACCAGCTCACTTTTTTTAATCTGTACAGAAAACTGTGTTAGATGCAGAAAGTCTGAGTTGTAGCTTAGAAGCCCATTGCATAAATACACCTTGTGATAGGTTTAGGGTTTTTTAGTTATTCATGGTTTAGATGCTACAGGCTTGTTAGTGATTTCGGTCCTGTCTTACCCCATCTGACTATACGTGAAGAATAACACGCGTTTTGACAAGTATAATCATCTCCTGTCGTCAACTTTTTTGAGTATAGACTCCCCGTCTGCAACTCTCAGAGTATAGACTGCGTGTCTGCAACTCTCAGAGTATAAACTGCGTGTCTGCAACTCTCAGAGTACAGACTCCCTGTCTGCAACTGTCAGACTATAGACTTTCTGTTTTGCAGGGTCCGGCGGGCAAGCCTATCGCCCTAGACGCGGTTGACCAGGCCAGTACTTGCGGCTACCAACACTTCTGTGCGCTGTTGTCTGAGACCGAATACAAGGACGGGTGAGGCTATTCTTCATTGCTAATCGCATGTGCTGTTTCTCAAGCCTGCTGGTGTTTGCTCGTTTTGTGACCTTTTAACTTTTGTCTGCATTTACATAGGCCTCAGTCAGAATGTATTTCCTCACTGGCAGTTAGGGAATGTTTTTCCCAGAATGTTTTTCCTCATTGGCCTCAGTCAGAATGTTTTTCCTCACGATCCCCTTAGCGTCCCCTCACTGTGGGGAAGTGCCGTGGAGGCAGCAGCCATTTTGCCCATCATTCTTTCCTTCGCCCATTCTTCCCCTCTCCCTGTGGCACTCCGTGTCTGTTACCTGAACTGCCCATCGCGGTTCAAGAAATAATAGCAAGAACATAAACTTAGTAAAATGTCCGGCCGGCAGAACACAGAGGGGCCAGTGGAAGGCACTTGATTTCCTATGGAAATAAGTTGTTTTGCAGCTCAAATACTACATATCTCTTTGTGTTCAAACACACGCATCTGGTAGTATATCTAATCTGTTTGTATATGAGTGCGGGGTTACCTCATGATTTTATCCTTCCAAAATAATTTTGTGTAAATCATATCATTGTATTGATTTTTCTGCAATTTTTTAACAGCTTTTCTGACCGAATTTCATCTAATGTTGCGTCTCCTGATAACGTTTGGAGACTACAAACATCCTCCACATTCTTATAATAATATGAACATAATATTTTCTGGCCACAAACATTGTGTTTAATCTTGAGTAAATGTACACTCATAATCAGGATAATTGAAGATTTTATTGTCGCTTATTTCTTTCCTAAATATCTCTTGTCTATAAAATTTCGTAATTACTTTTAATGTCCACAAATTTTGTTCTCGTTTGAATGTTGAACTTAATGATCTTGAAGTTGTTAGAAGAATGGTTGTTATATTAATTAATTTTACAATTAATTATATATTCTTTAATTACAACTATTCTATATTATGATTTTAATTAAATTGAATTGAAATAAATTAAATATTATTATAGAATAATTACAATTATTCTATATTCTAACAATTTAAACATGACTGTTTTTTTTAATGAAGCATTGTGTTATCTTTATGGAATTAAAGTTTACTCAAGTTCATTTATTCTAAATCTAATGACAGTTTTAGATACTGGGTCTTTCCATGTCCAGTAGCGACAGTTAGTGATAGCCATTACTGGCATTTACATTGGCCGCCAGTTAATGTGACCGCCATTACTGGCTTCGTGTACATGGACTTCAAGTTTTGCTTGGCTTGCAGGTGTTCCATCGAAGAGCTGCTGGACGCCATCCATCGCTGCTCTGATGAAGAGAAACTCGAGGCTGCGAGGTAAGCTGCTGGAGATTCCTTAGTTTTTCTCTTCTAATAATTCATAGCCTCTTATGCCTTTAAGTTCATTTTTTGCGATAAATAGATAGTTATACAATTCCCGGTAATGCTATCCAATTTCTCATAGACTTGATTGGATGCTTTAATGGGTGAGGCATCAACTACACACCCATTTATGTTACCGGTTCTTGTGTTGCTGGAGTATAATTGATGGGGAGGAGCGTCTCGATTGCCGGAGACGAGCCTCCTACGTTTTCTGTACGCCCGTGTCTCCGATGACGTCACGTTGCCGTAATCTGTTTGTGTTTACTATTAATAGCGTGAGCGCAATTCATATTCACTATTTTACTCGTGAAATAATTAAGTATAATGAGCTAAATCTATTTGTTCACTTGCAGACAATCGCTGCAGCAGGAACTGCTGTTGTGCTCAACCGCCGCTGCTGAGGCTGCTGGTGCTGATGCTGAGGGCGCGGCTGACGCTAGCGCTACTGACCTGCGCCCTGCACTGCTTTGTGCTGTGCGTGCTGTGCACGTGCTCCTTGACACGCTCTGAGCTGTGCTTGCAGTGTGTGCTATGTGCTTGTTGTACATAAAGTAACGCCTCACAGTCTTGGGGTCAGTATATCCTTCTATTGCTGCTAATTCCTCCTACTGCTGCTAATTTATTCTATTATGTTCCGATAATTATTCTTTATTACCATGGTCAGGATTATGGGGAGCTGCCAGTGCGCCAGCTGGCGCGGGCGCGGGCGGAGTGCGAGCGTCGGCTGCTGGCTGTCAAGGCGGGACTCGCCGACGCCGACTCTGGCGTTGACCGGGTAAGAATCACGCGGTCGTTAAATTGAACACCTCTGTGACCAATTCATATTATTTAGATGTATATTGACCGATCTGGTTAGACTGACCGAATGATACCTAAACCGTTTTTAAATTATGGTATTGGGTTTAACGCAACTCCACGTTTTTTTTCAGTTCTCGCATTATCTCTGAATTCGTTATGACTATAATTTTCACAATATAAGTAAATTCTCTTCGATTGCAGTTTCCTGCGGCATCTTTCAGCAGCGTGCTGGAGTCTAGTCTGTGCCGACGTTACCTGCACGGCTACCTGCAGTCTCTGCAAGCTCCTCTAGCACCTTCAGAACTGTCTGGATCATTCCAATCTGAGGCAAAACAAGAATTATTTAATGGAGATTATCCTGATACACAATTTTGCCCTATTGACGGCAGCGATCATGAAGTAACGGATGGGATTTTAAGTGAAAACGAAGAGGTATCGGTTGGTACAAGGGTTGTAAACCACAGCAAGGTATCAATTGGAGCGAATGTTATAAATGAAAATAATGGAGTATTGGTTGGTGTAAAGGTTCTAAATGAAAGCAAAGTAGCTCCTTCAGTCGGTTCAGGATTGGCCAAAAAGTTACAGAAACCGAAGTTATGCAGTGGAGTTGCCGCTCTCGGTCTTTACTGCTGTTTGTTGGAGCTGCTTGCAGCCCCAGCGCGGTCACGAGAACGTCTACGGCAGCAAATTTACCACACGTTCTTCAGCAGCGACTGCACGCATCCTGTGCCAATAGACGAGGTTGTTCGCAAGTATATCTGGCAGCTCGTCTTGGCTGGCACGTCAAAAGTTGCTTCGTCTTCTGTGCCTACGCCTTTGGTCGGATGTCTTGCTGGGGCCGTTGAAGAAGTGGGCCAGTTTCTACAAACGCGATACTCAGCTGGTTTCCTCCATTCCACGCACTTCAGGCAAATGGTCCATGAAGTTCAGGCAGTTGGGTACTCTTTCTCCGGCCCTGCGGCTGCGGTTGAACCTCAGTCGTGCTACTTTGACGTACCACCAGGGCTGACGCAGCAGCTACAGCACGCCATCGCTACTCTAGCTTTGCATCAAGAAAAAGCAATGTATAAAAATTGGGCCATCCAGTCTATTCCGGAAGATGAGAAATGCCTTTTGCAGGAGTGCAAGCGTGAGTTGAGGGAAGTCGAAGCTTCAGTCTGTGCAGACGAGGCCCATTTACGAACTCTTCAACTTTGGCTCGACAACCTCGGCAAGTGGCGCGTGTATGTGCAGAGCGTCGAGTACACCGACGATAAGGACAACCCTGATCTGGTGCTGCTCGTGTCTCTTGAAGACGAGTCTCCAAATGGGCAAACTTTGCAAAAAGAAAAATCGCTACAAGCGTCAGCGTTGATCTGTGAACGACTTAAATCAAAAACTGTCATTCCTGACGGTTCTGCTACTGGAGCTGCTGTCGGGAATCCTAATTTATCAGCCACTTTTTTCATCAGTTCTGCCATCTCGGAAGTTCTCGTGCCTCATGCGACAGATGCTCCGAGTTCTTTTAGCTCGGATGACAATAGCTTGCGTGCTGGTCACGACTCCTTTGCTAACACTAAATTCAAATCGCGTTCTTTCGAGAAAGACCCTGGGCTTTCTCGGCACACCAGCTACGACTCGAAGGTGTCTGCTTCTGGTGCTTGCAAACCTCAGGGTATGACTGAGAAGTCTAAAAGTTTGTCTGAGAAACATCTTGGTTTGCTGAAGGCTGAACATTGCGCGGACTCGTTGAGGTCGCGTTGCGCAACTACAGGCTCCCTGGAACGCATCATCGGCGCGCTCACCAAGTCTTCTTCTGCCGGCGGAAATTGGGAGAACCACGTGGCTGGTGAGTCCTGTAATATGATCTTGAGTACACGAAACACTCAATTGAAAGTGGATGCTGATAATATTTAAATTGATAAACCTGTTCTGAACTACTCACCAGTTAGTTCAAGGATTTGTAGTCTAAGTTAGGAAGGCGGATGGGATTTAAATTGCTGAACCTTTTCCGAACAACTTTGCTAGTGAGTCCGGTCATATGTTCTAAGAAGTTATGAAGGCTGATACTGATAGAATTTAAATCGATAAGAGCCAGATTTGATGGTACTTATTGACTTATTGTATTGTACTGTGTTGGTATTCTTCTGTAAAATTTGTATAAAAGAAGCCTTATTCGCCGGTATGTTGTTACTACCGATTTCCTGTGTTCCTTGTTAATGAAAAAATACAATTCATGCACAAAAATAGACGCTAGTGTTTACATTCCTCATTAATATTTTTTCTGCTAAATATAATAAAAATCTCAGGCACAACATCGGCGGGGGAAGACATGGACGGCTGGGTCGTGGTACGCAGACTCTCTCACTTCACCGAGCTGCACAAGAAGTTATGGTCAGTCATGAGCCTTCCTCGCGACAAGTGTGTGATATAAATTGATTCTAATGCGTCATTTTTCGTTTGTATTTATTTACTTCTACGTTGATTTCGTGACGGAATAATTGACCTGGGGCCGTACTGTCAGGAGTGTCTTTCTACGACCAACTGATAGATTTGTAACTAAGAGTCAGGATACTTTGTTGTTCCAAGTATGACTAAGGCAGGACAAGTGAAACGCACGGTTAACACTAGATCTATTATAATAATAAAGCGGCTCGGTGAGTACAGAAGAAAGGGGATTGACAGGTACAGCACAAGTATGTGCTGGAGGAGCGGCTAGCAAGATGACGGCTAGGCAGTACCGCTACGACTGACGAGCGGTGCATAGATCGAGATATATATAGGCCTTAACAGGGATGACGTCACTGAGTGTGACTCGACCATGTGGGTACAGAACAGGCTATAAGATGGTGATGTATGATAACCTAGATGGTGATAGAAGATTACCGGACAGTACTATTAAAATTCGCTATACAACTACACCGGTTTAGCTTGAAAAACTGTCAATGATTGGCTGGCGGAGTGCCAAACTCTTGAATATTTTTAATGCTAGGGCCCTTGACATTTCGATTATTTTAAAGCTGAACTCAATTTCTTGTGTTTATTTTCTTGAGTGTCAGATCATAACTGACCTGGTGATACATCATATTACACTAATAACTATAGTAGTTATTAGTTAGTACCGACCTTACCTTTCTTCATAAACCAATAACTTGGTTCGTCAATGAGTAGCCGTACAATATAACCCTTACATTACCAACAAATTACTTGCGGACCACTTGTGGCAACTTGCAGTGCAGTATGACCCCCTTTATAGAGCTGTGAGGTGACAACAAATAAGGGGAATAATTACTGACCTAATGATAATAAATACTGTCTCTAAAGCGCCATGAGGCGCTAATGATAACTTACTTAATGACAGTAAATATTACCTAAATGTCAGTAAATACTAATTTAATTATAGTTACTTTCCTAATGATAACAATTACTGATATACTGCCTACTGATGCCGTGCAGTGCTGAGTGGCCGTCCCTGAAGAGCCGCGAGGCGCCAAGTCTGCCGACCAAGTCGCTGTTCAGTAAGTCCATGAGCTCAGAGCGCGCTTGCTGCGACCGCCTGCGTGCGTCAGCGCAGCGCTACCTCGCCACCCTCACCTGGGGGGCCCTAGATCCCGCCCCCGCCAGGAGTCTTGCCTTCTACGAGTTCCTGTGTCCCACCCAACGGCTGCTCTATAAACCGCCCCCACAGACACTCACCAAGAAATACAAGTTCTCCCTGTCGTCCTTCTTCAAAGGGTGCGACCAAGCTACTGTTTATTACTCTTGATATTCAGAATAACATCAGATCTCGAGCTTGAGAATGTTGAAAATATAATTGTTGATTATATATTCATCCCTGCAGATGTTATTGTTGTTTAATCGCTGCTGTTGTTTGGAATTATAAACAATATATGTTTATTTTTTTGTATTGATTCAGTAAAACGTCTGCAACAATTAGCGAGCTGATGGTTATTTCCAAAAACGATCGACGCTGCCGGGAATGCTTAATCTTGAAATTGAGTGTCATTTAATTTCGAAGGCTTCAGATAATTATTAGTTGACTGGTTAGACGCCTTTACAGTTTTAAGCCTTCACTGATATCAATGAACTTATTAATAATTTGCTTTACATAATTGCAGCTTGTGTGCTGGTAAGTTAGCTTAGTGTCTGATCAATGCTCACAAGTTTTACTCCTACAGGCGGGAGGGTAAAGGTGAGAGCGATGAGGAGGAGGTTTGTTCTGCTGCAGAGTCTCTCGGTCGAAGGCTTGCATCTTTTGTAGAGTCAGAGGCATCAGCGATGACTGCAGCGTCTACCTCGGCGGCCGCGTCGCTCACCAGACAAAAAACTGACAACCTGAACACTTCTGAAGGGATACACTCAGAGGGGAGCATTTCTCCTGCATCCTCGAGTCACCTGGACAAAGCAGAAGATGTTTGTGAGAAAACCGACCTATCACTTACTTCCTTCATTGCAAGCAAACTCAAGAAAGACAAGGAAAAGAATTGCCGTGAACGTCATCCCTCTGGACCTGATAAGCGCGAGAAAACTCCGACAAGTGGCGCTAAAGTTTTCAGCGAAGAAGACTCCAATGTTCGGAACACCGACCCCAGTATTCGGAAGACCGACCCTAGTCTTCGGAACACAGACCAAGATCGGCTTCCAGTGCTAGTGACTACCATACCCGCTGAGTCCCCCGTGGTCCCCGCAAGTGTCACGGGGACAGGGACTGCCTCTGTCCCTGCCCCCGCGGGAATGGCATCAGTCGGGGGGAGCGAAGCTATCGTTGCGGAGCCTCTTTTCGCTCTGCTGGAGGAGCTCTGCGAACTGCGCGGCAGGGGACGATGGCTGCGAAAAACGCTCGTGTCATTCGTCCAAATAACCTACGGCAAAAATATTACCAGGTGCGTCAGTGAAATTAATTCAGAACACCCAAATTTTTTCATTGTTTACCTCCAAGATTACCAAACATTTAGATGACACCTGATATTTTTGCTTCTTTGTATAAGCGGAATTGAATGAGATATATTTAACGAGTAATAAAGATGAATGTCAGATATAGTGTCTTGATCTCACTATTACTCAGACGAAGCTTCTATCGTAGTCTCGCAGTAATATTTATTTTGTGATGCCTTCAAACATCACACCATATAAATTGAATAGATATTTTCATAAACCATCACTGTCGATAATCAATTTCGTAACGTAAATTGGACTCTATGCAACTCGTTCAGGTGTTTTGCTTTAGCATTAAACCTAAAAAAAGACCTTGAAAGAACATAATTTTTATGTTATTTGTCTGCTTAGTCAGTAGTCACTGAACCTGAAAGTTTGACATACTTGAATGTAAAAATAGTATTTTAATATGAAATTTTTATATAAATACTTGAAAGTACTATTGCTCTTAATAGACATGTGCGAGAGACCGCGTCGGCGCTGTTGACCGAGGAAAAGATTGTCAGTTACATCGATGCTCTACACTCGCTGTGGTCTGATGAAACTTCTGCGGCACCTGCGGCTGCATCAGCTACTCCACCTGCTACTGCATCTGCTGCTGCATCTGCTGCTGCATCTGCTGCTGCATCTGCTAATGCAACTGCTGCTACTGCATCTGCTAATGCAACTGCTGCTGGCGCTGAAGCTCCACCACAAAGAACACCCAAACAAATTCTCGAGACTAGGTATTTTCCTTATACTATTTCCGCTTGAGGATACAAAATGTTTTCGATTCTTGTTTTTCTAATATACTTGTTAATGCGCTTCTGCAGTGGGAATTATTTTCTTTGGAGTATTACGTTTATTTTTGCAGTTCAAGCTTAGTAATGTTTCTGTGCTTCTATGTGATGCCGTTTCATAGATGAAGATTACAGACGACATGTCAGTAATTTACGACACGGTTTATTTACTGACATGGAATTTTCAGGGACCAAGCACGAAGCCTTGGTCATTATGAACTCATTGCCATGCACCTGCAAAATAACCCATAAAAACCTTATCTCTATTATTTATTTCTCCAAAAAACGCAACACATTTTTACCAACCCTATCTCATTTAATTATTGCTTTGAGAAAGGGGAAAATGTAACGCATATTTTTCACAATATTGTCGCTAAAATTAACTATTACCTCTGAAAACGTAAAATGTAAGGCATATTTATCAGAATATCATGATAAACAATTTATTCATTATTATTTGTTAATCCGAAAAGCGGAAAAACGCAACACATTTTTACAATTATATTGTGGTAAATATCAATCAACTTTTAATTACTATTTCCCTTGAACATGTGAAAATGTAACGCACATGTCACCAAAATATTCTGATAAAAATGAATCCATTAACACGCTATAAAATATTCATCACATTCCTACCCGGCACCATTGTGTTACAGACGAGCAGCGCGGGAGGCGGTGCAGCGGGCGCTGCCTGCGCTGCTAGGGACGCTGGTGGGGCAGCAGAACGCGGCACGCGGGGCACAGCGGCTCTTTGTTGTGCTGCAGCACCACGCCCTTAATAAGAACCTCTTCTATGTGAGTATTTAACCTCTACGTGTGCAGTGAACCTTTTCTGCGTGAGTACTGAACCATTTCTACATGAATGTTAAATCACTGCTACGCGTTTGTTTACTTCACTCTCTCAACAAGACCCAAATATGTGAGTATTTCTAACTTATATTCTACTTGTGGTGTGTATTCATCTATTTAAATCCTTGAGAAAACCCTTTTTGGTTCAGTATATTGAAACTTATGTATTTTTCACCAAATTTTATATGAATGTTTTCTATGTGAGTTTGTAATATGAAATGCGTAGGTAGTTTTCCGCTTTCCCACCTGCGTTTATCATTTTGAGGAGCCATACTTTGAATTGTTAAGCTGTAATATCCGTAAGTGTACATTATTTATGATCGTATAGGGTATTAGTTATTTCACTTCGGCTCTTCATTTATGCTCGCATCTTTTTGATGTACCTTGTTGTCTTATCTGCATACATTTTTCGATTCTTCACGTAAGATATACGGCAGTATTTGCTATCACAAATATATATTTTTTGCAGAATTTGCTGGAGGAGTTGCTGCAAGAGATGTTCCCGGACCTGCGCCTGAGGCTTGAAAAAATTAAAGCTAAAGGCGCTGTGTGAGCCATCGAATAGTAATAATAGTAATATTAAAGGATGCCCTTCAGCTCGGGAAGCTATTTCGTCTCTGAAATTTGTTCATGGAACAGTGGACTAACGGCCATTTATTACTGTGCTACTGGCCTTGTGTGTCGGTCCTTGTACAGTAGTGACGGCCACTGAAACAGGCCAGTAACAACAGCCATTGGCCTCGTGTATTGAGTGACTGGCTCCTTCCAAGGCCAGGAGCGCCTACACACTTGTCTACTGAGACGGTAACTTTTGATGGTTAGCATTTGAATTTTGTAGTGGCTGCCACTGTCGAGAGTCTGTAGTGGCTGCCACTGTCCAGAGTCTGTAGTGGCTGCCACTGTCCAGAGTCTGTAGTGGCTGCCACTGTCCAGAATCTAGTGGCTGTCACCATCTGCCTTTTGTCCTGAGCATTTACCGAAGTATTTAGCAAGTTTTGTTACCTGAAGTGCGGGTAACAAAAATATTTTCAGAAATGAGACGAAAAAATGCATTTTAACGAAAATAAACGTGCATTTTACTGATAAATGCAAATATCAGCTCAGCTCCGCAATGCGCGAATAAAGAACTATTTTTGTTGTAATGAAGCTCCGTCATTAGAAGTACCTACTGGAATATTTTTATACGAGACAAATAACCACGGCTTGCATATTTTTGAGAACAATCCCATTCATTGGATTGAGAACAACATCTTGCATGATTTGTTTTCTTTACTCTGTTTTCATTTTTAAGTGTCAGGGATCTTAGGAAGTTTAGTATTCGAATGCTCAACTATGTGCGAGATTCTCTAGCAACGCATTTATTTTTACTGGTGGCACTAGTTTCATTAGTGGTTCTAGTTGTAGCTAATGGCATGGCACAAATTCTACATTGCAACGAGACTTTCATTTGGAGAAAATGGTTCCAATAGGCCTGACTGATGGAAGATGTTGCGATCAGAATAAATTGACGGAAATTGAGTGTTGCAGTGTAATGGATTTCGATAATTTCTAATGAATTTAGGCTTGCACTAACCAGCTAATCATCAGTATTAGAGTGATAAGGATGTAAAGGAACACCTTGTTTCGTACAAAAAGTTCCGGCAAGCTAGAATATTTATTTTTGATGATAATGAAAAGTTTTCAAGATGGAATGTCTATTATTTTAATTTTAGTATTTAACTTGAAAATAGTAGTTTATTTTTAGATAATTCATTGTCTCAGGATTTTCTAAAGCAGGATATATTTACCATTTGATTTTATGTTATAAAAGTTTTAACTTCTAAATAACTCATTTTTAATTTAGCTAATAAATGTCACTCTCAATTTATGTCATTCTCATTTTATGTCACTCTCATTTTATGTCACTCTCAATTCATGTCACTCCCAATTCATGTCATTCTCAATTCATGTCACTCCCAATTCATGTCATTCTCAATTCATGTCACTCTCAATTTATGTCAATCTCAATATATGTCACTCTCAATTCATGTTACTCTCAATTCATGCCACTCTCAATTTATGTCAATCTCAATATATGTCACTCTCAATTCATGTCACTCTCAATTCATGCCACTCTCAATTTATGTCAATCTCAATATATGTCACTCTCAATTCATGTCACGCTCAATTCATGTCACTCTCAATATATGTCAGTCTCAATTCACGTCACTCTCAATTTATATCACTCATTCTATGTCTTTCTCAATGAATGTCACTATAATGTATGTCACTCGCTATTTATGACATTGCGTTGATTCTCAATTTGCCTCGCATGTTACGTCACTGTCACTCTACTTTAGTTCCACCAAATCAGTCGCACTTTTTATGTATATAATTTATTCACATTTCTATGGCACAACTACATTCCATCGTAAAGCCATTCCCTCTCGCTTTGCAGTTTTATTTCAGGATAACTTTTCGTATTCGTTGTATTTTATATATATTTTAATATATAATTGTATATATCATTTTATTATTCATCGTTTTAAAATTTATCATTTTGATATTTAAATTTATGTTGTGGTTATAGAATATTTTTATTCAGTCATATGTTTTATTATGTTCTATATTGTTGTAGTTGCAGATCCAAATGTAAGCTCCCAACTTTTCAGATTATATTCATATCTGTTATCGATTGAAACTGAAAATCACAAAGATTTTTTGCAGCAGGATCAAATATTGATAACATGATTCAAATACACATACAATTCGTAGAGTTGCAATCCTTTATGTAGAATCCGATAAAGTTTAAAATGTTTATTTTATCAAGAGAGTTAAATGTGACTTAAATAGCGTACTTAATCTATGAAATCAAATGTGTTCTCGCGTAATCTCAACAAATAGTGGAGATGTTGAATGGTATTCCCTATAAAAATAAGATATACCTATGAAATGTATACCCTCATAATGTTGAGAAATAGTCGCGGTGTTGCTTAGTGTTGCTCATAACAACCGTATACAAATAATAACCATATTCTATTTGTGTACTTAGTTAGGCTATATTTTGTTGAGCTGTAGTATAGACTATAGGTAACTGAGGCTGTGTTGCAAGCATGATAATTAAGTCGATGTTGGTGATACTTGTAAGTTGTAATGCAATGTCACCATCAGTGTTCACCTGCAATGATTAAGTAATGCTTACTTGCAATATTTGCCTGTAAAGATTGCTTGAAATGTTTACTTGTAATGTTCAATAGCAATGTTTGCTGCTAGGTTTTGTATCAATGTTTGCCTGCAAAGATTGTAAGTTTACACGTATTATTGTTTTAAAGTATGGTTTGTCTGCAATGTTTTCTAGCAATATATTCCTGCAATGATTGCTTGCAATGTTTAACTGCAATATTTGCTTGAAATGTTCTTAGATGCTCTCTCACTGAGCGATCTGCATCGAAAAATATTTCTTTTCGCGGTCCGTAAATGGAGTTCAGTTTAGCGCACAACGAACTCTATACTTTATTAACACGTTTTTTCTTAGCTTCGTTTTGTGTCTGTCTGTCATCAAAAATTCAGACCTTAATTTAGAGCTCTTCTGAACATCCTAGTTTCTTGAAATTTGGCATGCATGATTATGCTGACTAACAATTCAAGATTTGATCATCAGAAATAATAATTTAAAAAAATAAAAAAACGCTAAAAATTCACAGTTTGGAATTGAGTTTTTTCTCGAACATCCACACTTGCCAACCCTGGAAATTGATTTGAATTGCTGAAATTGCTAACTAAAAAGTAGAAAATAAATAAGTATAAAAAAATATTTTTAAAAACCACGTTTTTCTGGTTTTTACAAAACTAGAAATAGTGAAATAAGACAAATAAAAAACTTTTAAAAACCACGTTTTCTTAACGGACAAAAAAGAAAAACATTTACTCATACATTACATTACATAACATAAAATATTTTTTTATATTTATTTATTTTCTACTTTTTAGTTAGCAATTTTAGCAATTCAAATCAATTTCCAGGGTTGGCAATTGTGGATGTTAGAGAAAAAACTCAATCCCAAACCGTGAATTTTTAGTGTTTTTTTTTATTTTATTTAAAAAAAATTATTATTGATATTATACCTATTGAATAATGGAATTGAATGACCTATTGAATAATTTTCAGTGCCATCCCTTTTCAAGTTCAAACAATCGCTCAAAGACTTAACTTGTTCAGTTCTACCGACATTGTTTTTTGTCATCAAGTTTTAATTTTTATCGCTCAAGATTGTTAATCAAGAGTCTATTTTAAAAATCAATTGTTTTTTAAAAGTCTACCGACATTTAAGATTAGTTCGCACGGTTGATTGTAAGTGACAATAAACGGTGTCAATCAACCTGCTAACCTATTTAATTAAAAAAAACTCCTTAATCAATTTTTAGTGTGGGTTGTAGTAATATTTTCCCTACATATAATTATCCCCGGTATCTCTTATCCCTTAACATTTTTATGTCGTTCAGAAATTATTTTAGGCTATATATACCTGTTGTTCTAGGTTGAACTTTAATTCAAACCTTTTTTGTTGTACTTGAGTACTTGGATTGTACCTTGTCATGTCTAGATCTCAAAGTTAGTACTTAACTTAGCTATTATTTTGTTTATACTTGTACTCGTTTAATCGTATGTACACTGCTCGGAGAAAACGGGAAATAACTGCGTTTGAGTGGGCGGCCAACCCATGAAATTTATAACGTGAATTAACGGACGGACCGACAGACGGACGGGCTTGACGAGCACAATAGGGCATTTTTTCCATAAATGAGAAAATGCGCTAAAACGGTGACATCTTTTATTTCACTGGGTAGCTGGCCACCAAACGGCCTGCGACCGTTTTTTTTGGCGCAATTCGAACGATGCAGAGGTTTTATGTGAACAAAGTGTGGTTCTTGGTTCCAGTTATGAAAACAATGCCATTTTTTTATTTAAGGTTTCTGGGGCAATTTTGATTTATGTTATTTAGTATAAAGAGATTGTCGCACATAATCCTTTAGATGCTGTGATTGTGTAGTAGTAGTTAGAATCTTGATAAATAAGCTAGAGTCCTAATAAATATTTGCGTAGGGCTGAGAGTTGCTTGTCATGTGCTAGCAAGCCGTCGCTTGTGGCTAGATATTCCAGACGCAACTATTTTGCTTGATGAATGAGTTAGGAACTAGATATTGAAACTAATCAAATTATCAAAATGCGAAATTATTTTAAAAGCTACTCATGGATATTTTTTGACAGTTTCATTCTTGCCAGCGATTTGTTAATGTTCCTCAACCTTTGCTTATTGTGTGGATATGAATTTTGAATGTATTAAACTATGTATTCAATGTTAGATAAGTCAGCTCACTGTACTTATTGGCTGCCTCAGAATCCCTCCGCCTCCCCTACGGACTCTTCCCGCCTGCTGTGATGTCACATGAAATGTAACTATTTTCGCGCCCAGAATATAATGATTATGACGCAAATGCTGGTCATGTTTGTGCTGTACTGCATCCTACTGTGATGTTTCCCTCTGTAGAAGCATATGGTATTTTCGTGCAGACCACATTCCCCGCTCTGTGATGTTACCCGTAATAAAGATTATTTTATGTGGCTCTGGTAATCAAGTATCCTTTTCTACGCCAATCTGAAGTCCAGATGCTCTTTATAATTGATATTTTGGACGGAATTTACGGTAGCCTTCGCTTTACGTGATTGATTGTGCCTTACTGCCGTATGGCCTAATTTCTCGTCCTCGGATGCACCTAATGTCGTTATGGTTGCTCCAACCGATGGCCGCCCGGTGACGACATTTAACTTCAGTAAACAAAGTTAATTTTTAGTCTGCGGATAAACTAGTCGTCCTAAATATTTCTATGATATTTCTATCTAAAGGCTCACTGACTGGAGACACCGTCTGAAGAAAACTATATAACACGGGATGAATTTAGGCAACCTCTTCTCAATTGATTCGTAATAGGAACTTTTTAATTTACACCGAGCCTTACTGTACAAATTTAGTGACATCAATTGTCAAGATTTAATTTGTTCATCAATTGTTTACTAATCTCCAAATCAAATGACAATATGTTGAAAGCAAACGCAAATCTTACATAGTATGTATATTGCCGAATTCGTGTCAAATTTATCTTATTAATTCCCAATAAAATATTATACTTTATACTGTCCACTAGTGCGCCTATACTGCACCAGTCAAAAATCCACTGGTATGATATTTACCAAGGGTAGATTCATGGTTGAACTAGTTAGTATAAGGTTGACCCATGAGAAGCTCCTTTTGTGGATGTAGTTCGTTGTTCGCCTGTGATGTTGTTAGTTGCGACCAGATTCACGCTCGCCCGGGGGGAGGCTCAGGTGGAGGTCGGGGGGAAGGCACCGGAAAAGGGGGGAGATGGGCGAAGGCAAGGAGGGCGGCCAGGAACGCCGCTGTCGCCACGGGGCTGTCCCACAGTGAGGAGACGCTGAGAGACGTGGGGAAGGCGGGGTAGGCGAAGAGATGCTGGACGGACTGGAGGGGATCTCCGCACTCCGGGCAGGCGGAGCTAGGGGAGCGTCCGATCCTCGCGGAGTAGGACGGCTAAGGACGCCAGGGAGCAGCAGTATCTCGAGCGGAGCTGAGATAGCGCCGAGCGGTAGGGGCGAGGGAGTGAGGCCTCCACTGATGCAATCGGCGGTGGTGGGG